GCTCAGGTGGGCGCGAAGACCGCGGGGAATGAAGCTGAAAGGCGTCCGCAAACTGATGTAGTGCCGCACGAAAACGTCCTGCTTCAAGAACCCAGCAATGGTTGAACTTTAGCGCGAGAGCGCCCACGAAGAATTGTAGTTAGGTCCAACACTGCTGCACGTGAGTGGACCAGCGAACGTGTACGGTATGAGTTATTGGACACAACAGGAAGCAACCGTACGTTTAGGACACCGAGCGGTTCGTTGCCAAGCCGGGGCGTTGGAGGTCAACCGGCCAGATGTCGGAGGGACACCACCATCTTATTTGGCGTACGACTCTCTTCGCGACCTTCGTGTGGCAACGCGCGACACTGGGTACACCACAAGCAGTGGTTGACACAAGACCAAGATCCCGAGTAAGTCAGGATTACCCGTCGCGGACCCATGCACGCAGTGCTACAGGTGTGAGCCTACAAGTAGACGTCTGTGCGGCAGGGGGTCAGTTCTGTTCCGTGGGATGTTGTAGTTAGATGTCGCCTCGTTTGTTGGGCATGCCGTACATCAGCAACCCGCCGATCACTACAAATGTATTTGGCGGACTTCGCGGGGGATCCGCAACTGTCCTCGGAGACAGGGTGCGCGCTAACCGCCGCGGGACAAAACTGTGTTCAAGGGGACGTTGAAGCTTTTCGTCGCTGTGGCCGAAAAAAATACACCCAGGCCAGCAGGTTTCCACAGAGGAACGGCAACTAGCACCCGACCACTGCACCACCAGCACATGCTTAATTGACTTGGCGGTTGTCGTGAAGCGTGCTTGACGTAGAACACACGCGCGCCCCACGCAGAGGATCCCCGTTCCCGCTGTCCGCGTGTTGCGGTTCGTGCGAAGTACAGCGTCGTCACCACGAGTGATGATGCATCTGGACAACACAACGCAGGACGTGATTCGAAGCTTCGTTCTTGTCCCTAAATTTTGATCACCTCAAGGTCTCCGGGAGTGCCTGCGACGTGAGGCTTTGACGTGATGTGCTGCAGCGATTCTCGTGCCCCTTCCGCAGATGGGACGTCGACAAACTTTTGTTCAAGCTTGCTCAAAACGCACGAGCTCGGCTGCGTACGTACTAACAGCAACAGTGTCGCAAGGAGCAGCGGCAGACCAGGCGCCCCCACCTGCCGAATGGTCGGCATCGTCCTCCTCCCTGGCTTTCTCTTTCCCTCTCTGTCTCTCGGTCTCGGCATGACAATGAATATTGTGTGTACCAGAGATGGGCGGCAGGGTCGGTCGCTCTTTGTCTTCGTTATTTTTTCGGGGGGGGCGCGGCTGCGACAGCAAAGGGAGGGTGAAAACGAAACGAGGCGTACACCGGATTGACAGTCTCGTATGTTGCTATTCGGCAGTTCAAATCCCTGCGGGCAGGTCAGCATGTGGTGTTATGTATTATAGTATCTCCTTTCGTACCCGCCAACAAGCCGCATGCCATCATACCTGTCTCTATAACAGGGTGGAAGGGCAATACACCTTTGCAGAGAGTCACTGTACGCTCTAGCGTGTCTGTGCCTGATCATAGACCGAAACTGCGAAGGGACGAAGAAGCAAAACTGCGCAGACAAACACGACGGGAGACCCGCCGGAGTATCTACAGTAGTGGATGCATCGCAGAGCGGTGACGTGCCGGTTCTGCCAACAGCAGTTCTTCCCAGCCTCGCTCAAGTTCCACCTGAAGGTAACTCATTGTTTCGAAGCATAACAGTAGACAACTGGGGGTGTGATGGTGCTGCATTCCTTATTTTTCGTTGAAATTTAAACCTTTTTTTTTAGTTGAGTAATAGCGGGGCGCTACAAATCTGTACAAGAGTAGCGGCGAACTGTTTGTATGCAAGGCTGCACCGACGACGCCCACTTGGAACGAACGTCGCGAACGTCGGACTCCATATCACTTGGGACGTACTCGCTAAAATACTGCATTCTTCTATGAACTTGGTACACTGTAGGTGTGTGCGAAGAAACTGGAGCACATCGAGCTACCGTGCGACCACTGCAACGAACGGTTTCCGTGCACGGTCCTACAGGTACGTACAGAGCATTTGTACAGAAGGAGCATACGTAGACTACATCAGCAAGGATGTTACTGTTTTCGTTGTTTCCATCCCACCTGTCCCAGGAGGCAGTCTACGCCTTCTGGTATATGGCGCACAAGCCGGGGACAAACCGGAGGAATTCTCCACACTTGCTTCTACTGGGGTTCTTGCGGCAAAATTGAATTCGAAAGGGTTCAGCACTCCCTTTTCCCTTTCGTTGTACCTACCACGACTAGGAGCTGTTCAGTTCTAATTGTGTGTGCTGTAGATGGCAATGAGCACGTCTCCCCACTCGGTGACGCGTTGCGCCTTGAATATAGTAGCCAGTGTTCACGACTGCCCCGAAGCAGGTTTGTTTGTGTCATCCTGCCATTGTGGGTGCTAGAATGGTTTAGTCCCAATTCTGCCCCCTTCATGAACGGAACCCTGCCGTGCGAACACCTTGTTGAGTTCGGCAAAGCATCTCACTCATTCACCCCCTCAAGCATGCCTCGTATCGATCTACGTAACCTGCTTCAGTTCCCCAGACACGTGTGCTCTAGCTGCTCTCCACAGCGTGCTATTGATCCCTTGCACCATGATCAAAACGTGTTTCTTGGCCTCAGATACACATGAAAATGTGCGGACGAGGTCGAAGACAAGCAAGAACCACTCCTGATAGAGTTGTACAATCGCAAAACCCCAAGAAACGGCTGTCGCAGGGCGGGCTACGTGGTGCTAGCGGCGACACCCCTACGGCAGGAACAAGGACGAGTCGACAGCAAGACCAGCAACAGATTCATTCCCCCGTAGGCTCTGTAGCCACAAGGAAACACAGCGCATTCCCAGACGACGAAAAAGCGTGTGATGAGCTATCGCGATTAAACGAGTCCGGCGACGAGCGCAGCAGCAGTGATTCTGACTTTGCAACCATCGGAGGTGGTGGGGTTAGCGGAGGCGTTAGCACCGCCGTGGAAACGTCGTTCGATGGGCGAATAGCCTGCTCCAACTGCAAGCGTCGGTTTTCCTCCGACAGGGTAGGCGTCCATGAAGGGATATGCAAGCGTGTCAACATAACGGAATCAGTTCGCGCCGGCACCAACAAGAGCAAGAGAGGAAGCTACAAGACTAAACGGCGCCAGGAGGCTTCGGCAGCATCTCCTACGAGCTGCTTGTCATGGCGACGATTGAGCAGTCCCGTTGTCGGTGGAAGACAGGCGCCAGCGGTAGGACGCTGGGCACGGGGGCGCTTTTTGGGTCGAAAACAACGCCGCATCAGGACTCATCGTATTGTTGGTGATGCCGGAGATAGAACGGTGGGTATACGAGTAAGTGCATCCCAAGAGACGGTATCTGTGAATCGATAGGAGGCCTTTTGGAGCAGGTTTTCTGCCTGTGCAAAGCTTACACTATGCGTTTTGAGCGCGGCCAACCTGAACCCCCATGCTGTTTGTTGGAGACCTTCACACATCTGAATAAATGTGTACGGAATCCGTGTTTCACTCTGTGGACGCGCCTAGCTCGAGAACTTCTTCGTCTCTCTCGCTTCCACACTCTTTCGGCCGCGATCGTTGCCTATTGTAATTGGGTTCGTCATTCTCAAACATGTCCGCAAAGCAAGGACAACGAACGACGCAACTGGCTGTTGCTCGTGGTAAATTACTGTTCCCTGTTCTTTTCACCACCCCGCAACAGTTTTTAGCCCAAATCGACCAAGCCTGGACGTTGGGCGGGAGCCAAGGTCAGCCAGATACCGCCACTATCACCAGCTCACCACCCACGGTCGACGCTTCCAGAGCACTAGTACGAGGAGCTCTCCGTTCAATGGGCGAAGGGTATCGAGATTCCACCGGCTGTAGCAGCCTCGGTGGTGGTACATCATGGCTTCAGCCCATGGACGGTAGGGCACGTAGCGGGGCATTGAGGGACTTGCGGCCGTGGACAGAACAACACCCTAACCTTCCTTCTAACGCCGTCGCGAACACTGCAACTCCTCGCGGCGAGCACGAGGCACAACAAAGACACGCACGGCGCCGTACCAGTGCCACGGTTTGGGAGTCGTCCTCGCATACAACCGTGCGAGCCACGGGAACTCCGACGAGGTTGTTCGTTGGACGCGCCGTGTCAAGGAGTTGTTCACCGGTCCGGCAAAGACGCGGGAGTACCAGCACCGGAGTTTGTCCGCGTCGGCACGAAGGGGACAATGCCCGAGGAAATGTCGTCGGTAGCCGTGGTGAAATGAGCGGAGACACCGGGAAAACCGATTTGGGGAGAACAAAGAAGGGTTTAGGGGGAGGCGTCGAGAAATCTTTTGGTGGGGTTGGGTTCTTTTCCCCTTATGCTAGAGACGGGCGGCGAGTAAGCTTGCTCAAGTAAAAATGTCCAGCTCGATTGGATCGGCGATCATGCTCCAGGACCTCGAAAGCCTTAAGAATCCATGTGGTTCATGTCAAGTGCATGCTGCGCGTGCCTAAGGGATGTGTATCTTCCGTTTTCAGGTCAACCCGCTGGTTCCGTGAGTGTGGCGGCTTGAGCTGTGTCTGTCGCCTATGGGCGGCATGTCTTTTGGTGGAAAAGCTACACATATCGCACAACAGATCAATTCTGGAAGCAGGAAGAGCCCACTCGCTCTGGAATATTCTGCTAAAGCACCAGTGTCTCAATTAATGCGCCCTTGGGGGTGTATACGTTGGTCGATATAAACTCACTGGCGGAAAGTTCCTTTCGTTTCCTTATCCAACACACTATCATCACCATGGTGTTGCTGTTGTTGTTGTTGTTGTTGTTGTCTCCACAGTAAAAACCGTGGTGAACACAGAAAACAGTATTAAGCAGCAACATATTATCAGTACAGGCCAGGAGCCCCACATGCGGCGCATCAACACAAAACGCCTCCCTGTATCCCAGCTCTACGAAGACGTCCTTTGGGCGCTTTCACAGTTTTTTCAAGGTCTGTCTACCAATCAGCCAGCCGCCGGCACGTTGTGGTTGCCACGATACGCCCCCCCGCCAGCAGAGGCAACCGGAGCTGAGTCCTTTGCCCTGCCCTCGCCGTTCTTGTGGTCCCGGGCGTCCGCCGCCCGCCCGCCATCGTCAACGCCGAAGGCCTCATTAACCGCCCCTCGGCCACCGCCGCCCGCCGATGACCCCGCAGCAGCGCCCGTATCTCGCCCTCCCGGCGCGCCGTCGTTCTCCTGGCCCTCCCCTCCGTCGTCCAGCTCGTTGTAGCGCTTGAGGTAGTCGGCCACCTCCGCCGGGGAGGCCTTGACAAGCTCCCCACTTCGCACGAGCTGCCCGGTGACGGGATCCGTCCCGGTGTAGCCTAAGTACTCGCCTCCTCCTCCTCCTCCTGCTGCCCCTCTCGGTGCTGTCGGTTCTACTGGACCGTTTGCTCCACCGGCCTCGTCGTTTGCCGCCGCGTCGGTCTGTTTTTCTTCGCGGTCTTCTCCACTTCCCCGTCTCTCGTGGGGCTTGGAGTTGTTCGCCTGTCCAACGACGATACGAAACGATGAGAGGGAAACAGGTAAGTCTCGGAGAAAACACACAGTGTAGTGTCAGGCCTGTTTTCACAGATGATCAGCAGCAGTGACTTCGTAACAATCAGTCCGTGAGTGCCTCAGTGCAGCCAGCTACATGTAGCCATACGGAGTTCCGATGGGTTCAATATTTTGTCAGCCACGCTTTCGTTCGGCGTTGTCAACTGACTTGTTTGGTTTTGCTCGTCGAAGAAAACATTTCGTCGGGAGACAGTGACTTGATCTGAACTCGATGTGTCCACAGGTTGGCTAGCAAACGCGCGTGGATGTGAATACGCGTGGAAGAGAGCGCCCACAGCAACAACAATCCAGACAAGAACCACTACGACAAAATTGTGTCGAATATACTAGGAGGATGGTGTATGCCCATGTACCCTACCTGTTCGTACTGCAGGTGACTCTCGTAGTGCGACAGGAGTGCCGGCATCCTTGACCTCGGACAGAGGCACCAGTCCTCCTTCACCATGTGCTGTCCCGTTATGACACACATAGGGAGAGCGTCCTGCCAGAACAACGGCGCGAACATCAAATCAAGGGCGGAGGGAGGCGGGAGAGATGGCAATCGATCGAGACAGGTCTTTTGTAGATCGGTGAGAAGGACAAGCTGTAGGGAAAAGGGGGGCTGGCACAACCGTGAAACAATGCACAAACGTGAAGTCATGCCAACAAACAATCTCTAGGGTCACCACAACCTCAAGCACCATAGCCAAGACAACTGTAATTGTCAACAAACACCGACTACGACCACGTACTCCGGCAACGACTACAACCCTTGACACGAAAAAACCACCCCGCCTACCTTCGTAGAAGGGCACTCGAGCTGGGTGATGGGCACCTCAGCCGCGCTGATGGGGCACTTGGAAGTCGGCTCTGGCTCTTCGTCGCGGTTCGGACGGCGAACGATGGCCTCGATGTTGCGGCGGTACTTCTTGTCGATTTGTCCTCGGTACTCCTTTAGATCCGGCGTAGACGACAAACGAAGGCATTTGCAGAGTGAAGTGCGGGGGCTCTTGGGTTTTGAGGGGCTTACCACATGTTTTCGCGACCGGTGGGACTCTCTTTCGTTTGTACACTTGCGTGCGTCTGCAAGAAAAGGGGAGGTCCCAGGCAGAGGTCTTGAAGACAACAGCAACAGCAACAGCAACAGCAACAACACGGCGCAGCCATGTCGTAGGTTGGACCTGACTTTATTTCATCCGAATGCCATGGTGTCTTGCGCGCTTGTGGTTCTACTCTCTGTGTTTTCTACGCCATGAAAACACGTGGAGAAGCCCTCTTGCCGACCAGGCAACAGGCAAAAAACCTTCGGCAGAAAAACAGAAGGTTGGATGCAGATCAAAGGTTGATCGTGGGCGGGTGGCCGCAGCAAACTGCGCTGCATTTGACCACGTTCCTGAAAACTTGGAGATGAACTACAATATGAGGAAATGATCAACCTCACGTCGCCCCCCACCCCATCCCACCCGTTACCATGCCAACAGCATTACGTATAACGGCAGCAGCCCTCTCACCTGCCGCATGAGCGTCGACGCGTACTCGAACGCCGAGTTCCTCAGCCCCGACCGCTGGCACTCGATTACGGTAGACGTAAGCACGGGCACGATGTGCGTCGGAAATCGCGAGATGCTCCTGGCTACCCTCAACAGCATCCGGGCCGCGCCTTCGTGGTCTCCGCGTCGGACCATTTTTTTCACCTGTGGCGTTTAGGACGCGCGTATTGTTATGATGTTCGATTGACCTGCCTCGTCGGGAGGGGGGAGGGGTGGCTTCCTCGCCGTGCTCGTAGCGTGCCCTTTGAGATGAAGTGTACTCGCCTCTATATTACTGGTATGTTGGTCTTCCACAGGTATGCTGGGTGCGAACAGAGGTTGGGATTTCCACTACGGTTTGCTGCAGAGGGTTTGTGGTACATGCGCGTTCTGTGTATTCAGGGCGGGTGGGACGGGTGGGCCGGGGGTCGTTTTCCACTAATCTGAGCGAAAGCAGGAGTGAGTATCGCCTAGCATTTTAAACGCTCCAAAAGCAGCTTTCGACGCTCAGGAGACCCCTTTCCTTTCGTTCTTGTGATGGACGATTAGGGTCCTGGATAACATGACATAAAAGTTTTCACGGTGACACATGTCGAGAATATCTTCAGTTCCGGAAAATTCGGACAGTTCATTGTTCGTTCCAGGAAAAAAAAAGGAACGAGGCACCTACCAAAATGTAACTGTGCAGCAGCACAAAGCTTCGACGGAGGGCCTGCGGGACATGTATCCCCTGATCCTCTAGCTGTCGGATCGTCTCGAAGAGGATCCCGTGCGCCACCTGTGAATGGATCGGAAAAAGGTTGCAAACATTGCGGAGTTCAGCTGTCGGGCGTGTGCATATTGCGCCCCTTTGCGAGTAGTTGGCGATAGCCATGGTACAAGGCGTGGAAAGCACATGCCATATTCCAGTGCCTGGTGTCCCGGACAATTCGACTCCGCGGGCGCCAGCTAGCGTAACCAACGGAAAAGCATCTTCCCGAAACTTTGGACGGTAAAATATTGGTTTCTTGATCATGTTTGCGGGCCAAGGCCTGACGCGCCCATGCCAGTACTACCATCGTAGACTGCGCCTGCGACTTTGCCCTTGTTCGTTGCTGCCGTCCTCGTTCCCCGCGGGGGGTTTCTTTCTGCTTAGGAGGGGCGAAATTCCTTGCAAAACACAGAACGATTCCCCCCGGATCCTCACACCAACTGCCCAACACTTACACATTCTCGTAGCTGCCACCACACGTGGTCACGACTTACCCCGTATGGTTTTCCACAACCAGACACACATATCCCACCTTGTAGTTGCCCAAGTCTTGTTCCTGCTTGGCGATGATGATCGCCGTCTTCGCAGCCTGAGAGTAGCTGCCCAGAGCCATGTACAGGCGGTAGATATAGTTGGGGTCCTTGGGCACCCCGTCCGTTTCCCCCATCAAGAAGTCGATCAGGGTGTGCGTCAGCATGTCGTTGCGGGCCTTGCCCACCACGGCAATGGCGGCCTCCACCTCCTGCTTGCCGCACTGAAGGAAGAGCTTGAGTGCTCGGTGATGCTGACCGCACAGGCTTCAGCCACGGGCGAAGGACACCAACACAACCACACGACCATCAGCATCAAATCAACAGCAGCGTCAGTAAAAAGAAGGAGCGCTCAGGGTCATCGAACAGAATGAACGAATCGAATGAATTAGTTTGTTTGTTGTGCTGATAGGAGTGGTAACTTATTGTACGGGGTTGCGGAAAGCACCTCTTGCTGTGCCGGCATGCGGCAAACGAGGTACGGGTAGCAAAACGAGGGGCGTAAGGCGGGGAAACCATCGGCGAAAATCTGCCTACGCGCGAACACGCAGCAGCACGCTTTGGTGACACGATTTCGGTATTTCACGGCTAGGGTAATAGCCGAATAGTGTTTACCTGTAGAATTTACCCGCCTTGCCGAGCTCGTGCTTTCCCTCGTAAAACCGAGCCACGCTCAAGGCGTCGTCGGGAGAGACGTCAGTACCCAACACCTGTGGTTCGCCGGAGTGCGGGGGCGGAGGGCAGCCAGGGCTTCTGATCAACCCCATGAAGCGGATGCCATAGCAAGAAGACACCCACGAATAACGTAGGTAGGCGCAGAAACAAAGGGTGGGGCACCCTGGGTGAAGGCATTGGCCGGTGCGTGCGGTCTGGTCACGTCGACGGCGTCAGGCAACCAACAAACATGAAAATTCATCCCTGGTGGGCGAAAACAAATTCCAAGCCTTCTGTGCCACGAAAGGGTGCGGGCACCTTCGTGAAGATGTCCATCCGTGCATGCGACTTGGCCAGGTTGAAGGCGTCGGCTGTCCTCTTGGCCATGAGCAGGAACTCGATCGCGCCCTCCCAGTCCCCGGCATCCTGACAGTGCCGCGACACCATCTCCGCGCCAGTGCTGCGAATTTCGTGCATGTTTGTCCGCGCAACGCGTACAGCAAATGGAGCACATGAAGCGCGGGGTATGGCACGAAGCAGGCGCGACGGAAACCAAACAGTGATTGATTCGAGGAAACCCTTCAAGATCATGCCGTGAAAAGTCGACCGCGGTACGCGTGTCGGGAGTTTCGTCTTCAAGGGCTGATCCGTTGTTGCTGTCGTTGTTATCGTGAGAGCGTGGCAGGGTTAACCATCTGCGCTTATTCCAAACAGCTCTCACGCCCGACAATCTCCAAATGGCCAAAATTTTCAACCCACACCGTCCGAGTTGACTTGACCGTAGTATTAGGGTTGCTGATCTTGTCTGAGCCCGAAACAACCTGAACCCTGCGTCTGAAAGACTTTAAAGAAAATAAAGGCGATTCAATATTGTGGCAATCGTTGTACATTGCAGAATGGTTCCAAATGTTGGCCCCGACTCGACTGAAAATTTAAACCCGGGTGCAGAGAGCGTCATTTCGATCGGTCGTTCGGTTCGAGTTACGATCGCCACTCCATACAACATTGATAGGAAACAACGCGACGCGTATCCGTTAGCGGTTTCGTTCAGCGAGAAGGAGCCATCTTGAAGTTTCCCTTCGAAGCAAGACAAACGATCTTATCGTATGGCTGAGGGACCGTCAAGAGAACCAGCCGTCTTTACAATTCAGAAGTCGATGACAATCGGAGCTTTCGCAGACCCCCACCGAGTCACAGCTTGGCTGGGAAGGTCGCTGGTGCCAACATCGCCCACCTGGAAGCGTTCTCTCGCACAATGGCGAACGCTCTATGCGACTGGTCGAGCTGGTCGAGGCACAGCCGCACCACCGAGTCCATGTCCCGCGCTCGCTCGTACGCCTCCAAGGCTTGCTCCAACCTGATGTTGACCAAGCCGGGATCGAAGCAGGGGGCAAGGTTAATGGCCAGGCGTTCTCGGCCTTTTTGCGACGCCGAAGTGGGTGGTTTGCTGAGGGACACGTCACTTTTCATGTCCTCGCTCGTTGACTCGCCTTCGCAAAACATGGTGCTGGGATAGCAGGAGGTACTCGAAGCTGGCATGGAAGTCCAGCGCGAGTGTACGGAGAAGACCCAGCCGGCTACACTTCGACCCAAACCTTTAAGTTTCTCCTCCCATGCAACGCCTACCCTCTCGGGGTGAAATGTACACGTGACAGTTTACATTTTTTGCTCTATGCACGGTGTCACCGAACACGGATACCCTGTTGCCAAAGGGGAGGCGACCGAACGCCGAGCCTGCCCCGAGGACCGCTTGCGACAACCGCCGCACCTTCCGGTTATCTCGCAGGCCTTGGCGTACTGTCCGAGAAGCTTGGGCTGCGTTACCCTCGGCATGACCGTCGCGGCCTTGTCCAAGTCCTTGGCGGCGACGTAGATAGCGGCGGCACGGTGGTCCTGGCCTCCCAGCTCGTACATCGCAGCGGCTTCCGCCGGCTGTTTCATGCTTTCGAGGATACCCGCACATTCCCGGAACAGCTGGGACGATCTGGACGTGGGGAATGAGTTGTTGGCGATTCCGCAGACATCATGCATCACATTGGGATATCTGGTGAGCCATAGCTATGGTGAGCCTTGCCCGATACAGAGTGAGAGCGGCACGCCAATACATGGGCCGAGAAGACCGATGCAAAACAACATCATTTTCAAACAACGTTCGTCCCGATGGATGACGTGATGCGGCATGTGCCACGTTATGCCTAGGTCAAAACACTCGGCCACCACTACACCGCCGAGCCGATACCTCACCCGGCTCCTTTCGCGAGCCGCAACCCTTTTCGTAGGTCGCCCGACCGCAGCGTGCAGCGAGCCACCCCGGCCAGGCACACCGCTCGTCGGGTCTCGTCCTCCCGGGCGGCGGCGGCGTCCTCATCGTTGTCGTCCACGTCGCCGCCGGCGGCGTCGGGGGGGAAAGACAGTTTGTGCTCTTCGGCGCTGCTGCCACCACCACCACCACTGGTGCTGCTGAGGGCAGACTCGTACATCGCAAGAGCGTCGTCGTTGCTGCCTCGAAACTCCAATTGCTGGCCGTACTCCACGCACAGCTCGGGCACCTGTTTTCGTACGGAAGACATGGCACAGGGTGTGCTCGTTGTCGTCGTGCACGGCCTCGTTTCTCGGCCGAGATATGTATCATCGCATCCCTACCAGGTCGGGACGGAGAGCCCCATCAGGTGTTGGTCGACCACGCAGGAGTTCCTCCGAGCGCAAAACGCGTAAGTTGTTCAGCGAGCCCCACAAGAGTGTGTGTACGCCCGGGGGGCGGGGGGGATTTAACGACAACAGGTGCCTTGATCGGTCGTCAAAGGCCAGCGTATCAACTTGGCGGGGCACAAGATTCAGTCGTGTACTGGTATGTCATCTACTCGGCTCTGCATTTCCCTCGTACGTCGAAAGTCCCCACTTCTCTTTGTACAAGACCCACTGCCGGCGGGTCGGCAAGTTGTGTACCACGGTACCTGGGACTGCCGAGATTGGCTGTTGTCGTTGCAACCCCCGGCTGAATATTACATTCCTATCGCGGGTTACGCCCTGCTTATTGTTTACGTCGTATTGTGGAAACCAGGATATAGGTATCTTCCTACGGTAGTGACGCACATACAACCGCAAAGGTCCGAAACCCAACGAACTGCGTTCCTGAGGTCTGAAGATCTTTACGAAGAAAGACTCTCCGTCTGCTGCTGTGACCAGCCGGAGGGTGGAAGCGGTCCCCTAACGCTCACTCTCACCTTCAACAGAGCGAGGCCGACTAAAGTCAGCCACGGTTGGCCATTCCTTGCCACATTGCAACAAAAGCGAAACTACCTCCGTTCGTGAACGGTTATTCACCACTTGAAATACCTTTACTCGTAACAGAGTAAGGGTATTCTCAGTAGTAAACTTGGAGCTAGTGGTAGCACTGTGGAAGAAACGACAACCCCAAGGGGGGCACGTTGCCGACCCGCCTTGCGGAATAACGCACGCGAAACGCCGTAGACCCTCTCACCTTGTGCGGGGCGAGCGTGTGCGCCAGCTTGAGGGCTTGGTCCCAGTGTCTCAGGTCCCATCTCATCTCCAGCGCTGTTACCGGTCGGCTGCTGCTCAGGAACAAATCCTGCGGGCACCGAAGAAATGAAGGCGTCAGGCCTCGGGTTGCAGCATCGAGAACACCCACCTACCCGGAAGTAGCGAATGACGCTTCAGCAGGACAGAAACGTAAGGATCCCTGCACGAAACGCTGAGGCATCTGCGTCGAGTGTTCATTTTTTCCTCCTCTGGTTTCCCAGTAACTTCTCCTATTGGTTTTAGAGGCAAGAGGTTTCTTCTTGCCTGCGCGGTCTGATAGTTGCCGAACAGGAGGGCCACGTGCCCCGCCAACAGGTTCTTGTCCTCCACGTAGGCTATGCGTTCCAGGCCCATGACCATCCCCGCGTCCCCGAGCTGTCGGTAGACATGCACCGCCATCTGAACGTCCAGGACCTCCATTGCCTGGCGGGCGGTGAGTGAGCAGGTGCGTTCATCTCAAGGCATCAGAATACCAATTTCGACCCTTAGCTACTTCGGTCTTATTTTTCTTGCGTAGTCGTTCGAATGCGATGATCGCTGGGTTGAAATACCAACGGCGTCGAAAGATTTCTTCCTTGTCATGCCACGAGCTTTCGACAGCTTTACGCTAACTGCCGAAGGCAACACGCCGGGAAGAATGAGTAACCAACCAACAGCCCTTCCGTGGACCACTGGTCGCTGGCACTTTTTTTTGGTCGGGTGTAATACAAAGAGTCATTGGGTCGTGGAACGATACATCAAGGAAGGAACGATCTATCGTCATGGGCCAACGTGGCTCACACTCGCCGGGTAATCCCGATCTTGACCCCAGGCCCGTGGCCCGATTGCACCTGCCAAAGCGACGAAATACTACTTTTTCGCCACGGCGTACGAAAGCTCTGCTATCCTTCGATGTTCTGGCACCAGAATATACGTACTGGAGTACTTGAAGCATGATACTGTCCATGTTAACGTTGCCTACGTCAAAGCTTTTCCACAAGACTGGAACTACTGTTACTCTCGAAGCACAGGACAAGAAGAGTAGATTATTGATGAATAAAAACTTGTGGTACCTTGTTGCTCAGCGCTAGCCAGTATCGTCGCTCGTCTAGCTGTAGCGCGGCCCGCCACGCTTGCTTCAGCCTAAGCAACGCCAGGTTTTCCAAGAAGCACCTACGAGGGGGGCGGGGATAGGGGTGTACTCATAGTCGTGCATGCCGTAGTCGTTAGACCATTGACCTCGCATCCCTACAAAGCCGGGACGGAGCACGCCGGGTTCTCACCGGACCAGGCTCTCACATCACCAAGCGCGAAGCGCCGTGAGATATTCGGCGAGTCGCATGAAGGGTGCGCTGCATCCAGCTAAGGGTGTTAGGCATCTTGTGCTTACTTCCTTGCGTACGGATGGCTGCTGCGTATGACTCAATTTATTTGCTGGTGCGTGAACTTCCCGAGACACCTGTAAGCACTGTGTAACTGCCTCGAGGGTGCTTGACCATTTTAACACAACGTGGTGCGATCATCCCCCTTGCATGGAGTGGGGGTTCTCGACCCCGCACAACATGATCTACTCGACCACCATCATGGTAACCGCCAAAAAAAAACAGAGGTGAAAAAAACAAACGGTAACCTGGTTGCCGAGTTCACGAAGTGACTTGGCTTGTTTTACAACGTCGTTGCCAAGCGACGAAAACCCGATCCCGATGGCAAACACCGATGGGGGGGTGGGGGTGTATTTCAGGGGAACTTGGAAACGGTAGTAATGACAGTTCCGAGAGGAGACCGCGCCATCGGCTGTTAGTCCAACCTTGTTGTTTCTTCGCCCCCGAAAACTACATGGTAGTGTCACCGCAAGACAAATGCTCTGGCTGACATTTGTGCCGTCTTGCTATGTTCGCCGCCATGCTACGGCAGGAAGTGACGCGGCTCGGGAAGATCTGTCCACCGACGTCCTGTAGATACTCGTCGCCGCCCTCTGCACCGCATGATTTCTTCTCCCTAAACATACTGTATCTCCCCGCCTTTTTCTTGAAGAGCTCGGTTGTTTGTGCTGGTCGACGAAACCGCTCGTTGTCTACACGCACCTCTCCCACACGTCGCTGGGAGCCCGACTTCCCGCGTTGGCGAACTCGTAGGGGGCTGCCACGAAAGACGCGATGTCTCCCGTCTGCGTCTGGCACGTGATTGTTCCCTTGTGGCTAACCACGGGCGCGTGTTGTGGGGGGAGGGGGGTGCTTTCTGGTGACATGGCGACGCCTCCATCCTCGCTGATCTCAACCAAGCCCAACTTGGTCACCTTCGAGTAGGGTTTTACGCGGCGTGTTTTCGCATGGTTGTTAGCGAGAGTAAACCCAGGGAGCAGGAGATGGGATCACGCAAAAGTGCCGGCGCCACACCGCATCGCACCGCACCCCAAGGGCCTGTATGGTTGCCATAGGAGTTTCTGGGACGTGGTGGAAATAGACTCCTCGGAGATCATGCATACGCTCTCGTGAAAACATGGATCATACGAACCACCACCCCGAAGCGCTTGCAATGTAGTAGAGCCGTGTAAAGACAAGACCTTCGGTCGGCGGAGTGCATAGCAGTAGTTCGTATACCAGACGCTGTCGAAGGGTTGCCTTTCAGATGGTATCGCAGTAGCCACGATTCGCCCTTGCGGTAGACTGTACGTGGCTGAAACACACGAGCTATCAATCAACAGAATTACAGCAAAAAGTTGTTTCGCGTGGAAGTATCAACTTCCTTGGCATGTTCATCGATGTCCATGCCTCTGTGCCCCTCTAGATCCTATGGCCATGCGCCTCCACAGCCTTGTGGCTGGACGTCCAGCCAGTGTTCTCACCATGCTGCCCCGGATTGTCGTGTGCGAATGAACGTACGTGTGCAACTCCCTTCCGTCCGAGATCATCAGCACGTCCCGGTCTACCTGATCCCACATGCAGTGCCGACAGTTTGGCGGGAAGCCTTCGATCTGTGCAGAGAGACGGCGACGACCTCACGAGTTATTATTGCACCGAACCAGTGCTTGCCTGTGTGCATGCTTCGAAGAATACGTCAACTAAAGTGGTGCAACAAGCCCTACTCCGGCAAACTTATACAGGTTGGTTCGTGCTGTTCCTATCGCCGTCACCGGCGAAAACAATCGCACAGAGCAATCCCTCCCTTCTGCCCTTGAAGTAAAGGCTGGGCTAGGCAGACGAGCTAGTTTGATACGTCGCTTTGTGGCCTATTGTGCCGCACAAGGCATCTGCCCTGGACGGTGGTATGCGACAATGACGCACAGCTGGCTGTGCCAGAGACACGGTTGTGAGTCTACTTCCCCCCAACCAACCACCTGCCCCCTTTCCCACCTAGCCCCCAGGCCAGGAATCATGTCTCTTGCCTGCGTCAGCTTGTCGCTCGAGGGGCTATACAACCATCCTGCGCCCACCGCGTCCATGAAAGCGACCCTAGTGCCTAGGTAGTTTGGCCACAACCGGAGCACCGGGGAGGCGTGCTTGAGCTCGATTCCTGCGAGCGGCGCCCACTCCGACAGACAGAAAAACTCGATCGTCCCCGCCTTCGTGGCGTAGATCAAGAACGCCTCCGTGAGCCCCACCGCCGTCGCTTCCCCGTGTTCGCGGTCAGCCCGTTCCGGGAACGTTCTTCGAGCGCTGGGACTGGCCATCATCCCCGCTCCCTCCGTACCACCGCCTCCCGCTGATACGCCGCTACCGACAGCGATGGCGGGCGATCTGCCGTGCCGACCCCCTGGCCCGACTGCGCCACCCTTCCCGTCGAGCTCTATTCTCTGCAAGATAACCTTTGAGCCGCTAAGCACCGCGACACAGGTGCTGTTAAGCTGCACGTCGGTGACTCGGCCGTTGTACTCTCGTTCATCCACCTGAAACAGAGAAATCAAGAACGACAGATAAATTGGATGGTCTTCTAGGGTGTGTTTCACCCGCTTCAACTTATCGGGTGGCTGCCACACACACACAAACATAAACAACGATGGATGGTTTTCTAAGCCTATTACTACTGCGCAGCACACAAGCGCACCCAGGGCAAAGAGTATGAAGCTCACCGGGAGGACCGACTGTATTCCTATGGTGACAACATGGTACGGTATGCGAAGAGACCCAGCGGGACAACTCCCCACCTGTGATATGTCCTTCCGCGTAGCGCGGTAGAAGATTACCCGGTCATTCATGGCCACGGCCACGTGCGCCGGGCCAAGCCCGACGATCGTCGGCTCGATACCGACGGGGACGTTCAGCGGCTTTTCCCCCGGCCGAGCCACGTCCACGACGGAAACTTGCCGCAGAGACGAGAGGTACGCGACGCAGGGGCCACAGGACGCGTGGACGATGGGCATCCTCGCCAAGAAGTTGAAGACGTCGCCCGTTGCAGCGGCAACAGTGAGGATCTGTCCGTCGGGGCACCATGCCAGGCCGCAGATCCTGCCGTCCTCCTCGGACGTCGGAACTTGCTCCTCGCTCACTTCCTTGTACGTTCTCATGTTCACTACCTTGCAATTGCGTTACAGACATTAGACAGCAGATTCTATTGCGGGGGGGATGCTGACTTGAGTTCTCGACAACCCACGTGGCGTGTTTTGTATTCACGTTCGTGTTTACGCCAATCTGCAATTGTAGCGTCAGTGCGCATGTATCGATAGGTGCTATTTGATCGCTGAATCGTGTAGCGTTGACTAAGTGCCACGGAGACAGCAGAATTTTGAAATTGTTGCCATCGAACGCTCTCGTACAGTAGTCCAAACTCTTCAAGCCTGCCTTCCCAACGGAGGACTAACGCAAGATGCCATCGTTTGTCAAGGATTTCGTTTGAAAAACCATACCGATGGACAAGTCCATTTCCACACAACTTGGGCCACGTTCTGGCAGCATACAACCGGGCACACTGAAAATCAACCATGCGATAATGCTGTATACTCCAGGCAGCACACAGGTACCTCTCTGCTTTCTAAGCCCATCGTAGTATCACCCCCAATGGTATCAAAAAGCTTTTCCGAACCATCCGCCGGTACTTATTTGGTGATGAGTGGGCGATAGTGCTGCCGTCCTCATTTTCAATAATCTTGTCACGCTGCAGTACCGTGCGCATACCTACACGGCGGCATGAATCTTGCGGACTTACCTTGATACTCGTTGGACCGGCGGCTACCGCTTGGCGGAGTTCAGGCGAGTAGGACACGTCTGTCAAGCCTCCGTCGAAAAATCGACCGCTGAACTGCTCCTCTCCGATCTCACTCATGTGGGTAGATATCAGCACCAAATATCCCTTACGGATGAAACGCCGACAGATGAAAGTGAAGAGTACACCTCAGTTAAACTTCAGCACGTGGACTTGCACAGCACCACGGAAGTTGTGATGAGTACTGTCGGGCGATATGTGATGATCTAAGGCAAGGTGTGGTAAGCGTCCGGGTGGGGCACAACATGGACACGCTCGATATAGCGCTACCGCTGACGGGGTCTTCCAATAAACCAATACATGAAGTAGAATGTGCCAAGCACCCCGTGTGTTCCCTCATTGATCGCAATGCTCAGATGACGGACATGCCTGCGTAACAGACATCTGATCACCTCGGAAAAGCCAAGCAGCAGATTGCTATCGCCGAACGGTCGGTGCACGACGATGTTGCCGTACTTGTTCTGAAACGCCAACTCGACGGGCCTGTCCGGATCGTCAAGGCTGTATAGGAGCAAGGACTTGCCGCTGAGGTTAATGGCAACGACGATCTTTTTGTCCACCGGTGGTTTCATCGCGCGGGTCGCTTGCGGGGAGGAGGGCCGGCCATGGCCGTCTCGACCGCGACTTCCACCGAGGAAGCACATCGCAGTGGGGGCTCGTTTTAATTGCGTCTGCTCCAGTGTGTCCCCCGTGTCGCTGCTCACGGTGAGGGTGCTGTCCACGGACCCCAGGACGAGCTGATTCCTCTCTCCCCACGCACCGCACGTGATACGCCGAGGGTGTTTCCCGAGAACAGGTATTTTTTTCCTGGTCCTTTTGTTGTACATCAAGATGTTGCCCTTGGCGGTTCCCACCGCCAACTGAGGACCGATCGCGGACCATGCCATAAAGGTGGGGTCCTTGAGGTTGGTGTCGATACTGAGAGTGCTTCTGGAAGAGGAGTCCCATATGGGGATGATTCCGTTGCCCTCCTGCAGCACCGCGAGGCACTCGCCGTCCATGTCCCAGTCAAGCGATAGGATCGAACCCTGCCCTTGGAGGGAGATCTCGTCCACACGTTGGCCATGTCGGTCGAAGATGTGCACCAGACCTGTACATGTTTGACGAGCGCAGAACGTGCTTTTCATACATGGACCAATGCATGGCCATGATGGGATATATGTAGTGTTGTCGTGAGTAAAGACTACAGCAGTACATATTTTACACACGGAAGACACGGGTTGGAGTGCCACGTTGTGTCTTCGTGTCGGACGTCGATAGGTGTAAGATGGAGATGAGTGAGTTACCGTAATAGTCGGAGAGATGGCACCAGGTGCGATCGTTTTTTGAGATGTTCATTCCTGCGCGATAGTTATCGACAATGTAGAGTTTGGGATGAAATGAGGCCTCCGGCTACGAAAAGCCTGGAGACTCCACCCAGGGTTCTACCCCCGTACCCCCGCGTTGACGTCCTCCGTGTCGTCAACGCGGCAATCGCGCAAAAAGTAGAAAACCCGGTAACAAAACAAAACAAACATATAGATACCGTTGGGCGGGTGGGACGGCTGTTTTTCCCACCGCACTTCCCCCTCCGTTAGGGTTGAGAAGTCTTGTCACCAGTGGGTGCTCTCTCCAAGCCTTTCTGCAGGCAATATGTTATCATCTGCGGAACCCCTTCGTGGTTTCATGATTTCGACATTATATACTGCGGAATAGTTGTCGACGATGTAGAGTTTGGGATGAAATGAGGTCTCCGGCTACGGCACGGGATCCACCCAAAATTCATCCTTTTGCGTGGCCTGTCCATCCCTTGTCGTTGCCTGATGCCTGAGATTTTATCCCCAAACTTGCTTAAATGTTGGAAACGTCGCGGTCGATTATTACATTGATACTGTTGTGCTTATCACGAACCGTCCCCCCTAGTACCTCAGGAAACAGGTATCCCTCACGCAGCTCCAACCCACTGACTTCGCCACGATGAAAAACACTTGCACTGCTCGAACCGGATGACGTTCGTGCACTGCTGGTCGCGTTTGACGACTACGGCGTGCGACAAGCTACGGAGTGTCCTGATCGAAAATACGCAGCCTTAGCTTCGCTCAGAGAATGATAACACAACGGGCTCTCGTTCAATCCGAAGGGGAGGGTACTACACACGTGATCGACGCCCTCGTAATGCACGCCGAAACGCGGTCAACTTACTGGCTGTAGGCTGAGGTTATGGAAGCCCGCGCGGTCGTCTTGACTCGTCTATAGAGAACACCTTCTTCGACCACCACCGCTACGCGTGAAATCGTGTCCATCGTAAATGGCACATACATGTCAACAACAATTAATAGGGGTAATACCGTTGATGGTCATACGCGGCTTGGTGGGCTCGACCGAGATAGGCAGCACAAGCCGTGGCCTATCCGGGCCATTGGGGACCTTTAACGTCAGCCCACCGAACCATACAGCAGCGCTTAGCCAGCTGTTGCACTTCGAGTCTCACAAATACCGCATGCTTGTCGGGGATACGGTTGGGAAAAACTGCTCCCGGAAAGCCGTCCGGGCGATACGCTTCTGTAAGAGAGTCGAAGGCGCTAATGCCGTCTCGTAGATACTACAAGAGTTGGCGTCGATCGGGATGGTCTCGCAGGATAACCTTGTCCCAAAACTTGCAGATATGATTCAGGTCCCCATAAACGAAGTCTTATCCGTTTTCGCCAGCATCTCTTACGGGAACTTCCCTCCTCTCGGTTCGTGTTCTATGTCGGCCACAGTACGTAGTCTACGCTCGGCTTTGCACGCGGCCCTACCCACCCTTTTTGCTCTCCGGACAGGTCGGGGACCTCTGGAAACGTGACTCTTACTTGCGCGTGTTGTTGCGCTAGGTTCGTTTGCCAATCATCGGCGCATACCTAAATAAATGTGGAAGCGACACGGTACAACGGTAAACATATCCAGTATATACTACTGTAGTGTAGTGATGGCAACAGGCCCCTTCGATTTCAAGACGGGCGCAACCTATGACTGAAATCGAGGGTAAGAGTACTTAAAGCGAGCGTAGCTACGATGCACTGTGACCAGACGGACCCACCGAGAGACATGGCGGACGCAAGGAGAGCAGATACAACGACACTCCGAGCTGACTATCGCAGTAGTGCATGCATACGGTATTCTTCTGTACATGTGACCCTACAACCTACCAGGGTTGAAAGCCAACTGCGAATGGAATCGGTCATGGAATTTCGAGACGTTTTGCATTTATTTCAATGTCAATGACACGGGTCATTTGTAAACAAACCGTAAACAAAATAGTTAGGCGAACTGACTTGGTGTGCTACCAAGGGCAACCGCATTTGTCAGACGGGACCTCCCCCGACCGGCCGCGGTCGCATCGCCGTCTTTGTGAAATAGCATGCACAACGAAAGCGAATCATACTCGATCGTAGATTGAACTTCCGTCCGTTAAATGGATACCTCGGGTACGTAACCATCGACACGCCCCTCGACGTAGGGGTTGGTCTATCTACTATGATACTGAATCCAAACGAGCCGATCGAGCGTCCGAACGCATACACGGCGGTGACCATGGGTTCGGGCACACTTACATTCGATGGCCGCCCTCTTTACATCTGCGGCAGATCCAAAACGCACACGTCACGTGCGAATGATACGGGTCGCGGTTACTAGCTTGGCACTTCCTACACATGTCCCCCTCCCGATGCAACTCCCGGGTTCGCTAATTGCTGCTGCTGGAGGGCTGCATTGCGCTGGTTGCGCCCTGCACTGACATCCGGTAGTGGTTTTGGGACATGTCTACCGGCGGCGTGACGGCTACCCCTGCCCCCGCTACACGCCCCCGACCCCCCTTGGTCCGGCCGGACGGCCACGGAGTATAGTGCCCCACCCTGGCTCCCGTCGTGACGGCCTGGGCGGCTTTCTGGGACATCTGCGACCTCGGCTGCCGGCGAGGTCGTCGAGGGACGCGCGACGTAGCCCCGAACCCGGCCTCTATCGTTGGGTGTTGCGGCGGTACCCCGAGGGGGTGGTCCCAAGCCTTTCTGCAGGCAATATGTTCTCAACTGCGGAACCCCTTCGCGGTTCGATGATTTCGACATTATTTTACTCGGTTTTTTTGTCGCACCCCGGTGCGATCTCTCCGACCGGTGCCATCACTCCGACCCCGGTGGGGAAACGCAAATACATAATTTCGTTTAGCTTTTTCAAGGCACCCCCGGCGCGATCTTTTCCCCCTCTAAACATAAGTGGGTTGGCGCTGTTGGCAAAGCGCTGTAAAACACGCCACCCCAAATATAACCCCCATTGTATGCGCTACCAGAGACGCGTGACGCATGGACGAGTGGAGTGAGGATAGCTCTTTACGGAAACCTCACAGATTGAGTAATGTGTGAGATTGCCGGACACATAGACGTGTTGAGTGATAGTAGCTGTATACTGAGACCTCAAGGGTTGAGTGAGGTTTGAGATTGCCAGACACATGGACCGGTTGAGTGGGGATAGCTGCATACTGAAACCCCACGAGTTGAGTGATGTTGGATAGTGCCGAACACATAGACGCTTTGAGAGAGGATAGACACATACTGAAACCTCACAGTTGATTTGTGATGGAGATTGCCGGACACATTGACGTGTTGAGTGAGGATAGCTGCATACTGAAACCCCACCGGTTGAGTGATGTTGGATAGTGCCGAACACATAGACGCTTTGAGAGAGGATAGACACATACTGAAACCTCACAGTTGATTTGTGATGGAGATTGCCGGACACATTGACGTGTTGAGTGAGGATAGCTGCATACTGAAACCTCACAGATGCATTGGTTTTTGAGTTTGCCGGACATATGGACGGGTTGAGTGGGGATCGCTGCATACTGAAACCCCACCGGTTGAGTGATGTTGGATAGTGCGGGACACATAGACGCTTTGAGTGAGGGTAGCTGCATATTGAGCCCTAATGGGTTGATCTGTATTGGAGATTGCCGGACACGTAGACGCGTTGAGTGGGGATAGCTGCATACTGAAACCTCACAGATGGATTGGTTTTTGAGTTTGCCAGACACATAGACGCTTTGAGTGAGGATAGCTGCATATTGAGACCTAATGGGTTGATCTGTATTGGAGATTGCCGGACACGTAGACGCGTTGAGTGAGGATAGCTGTATACTGAAGATCCACAGTAACTATGGTAAGGGGACAATTCGAGAATGCAGTACACATAGACCCGAACCCCAACACGTACCCGAACGCTCCCTGAAAGGCCATGCGCCCCCCCCCCCTCTACCTCCCTCAGAGAATGAGGAGGGTACAGTCCAAAGTAAGCATAAGCTTACGTAAGATTAATAATGCCTATTGGTACGGCATTAAAAAAATACCAAAGTCCCTCATTGGGCGGTGGAGGACTTAGAGCTAAGACACCCCAAATCTCCGGCGTGAGATCCAAAATAGATCGGACAGTGGAGGGCGGGGGGCAGTGTTCGTTGCTTGGAGTGGATCAATAAAAACATGGAGCCATCAGAGCAAAGCATAATACTCACGTCGAGCAAGCTGAACGACCAGACCAACCACGCAAAAACTGCGGAGCTAGATGTGCGGCACGCACAATGCATTGTTTTCGATTGGAGAGAGGCGA